GAAAGTTATTGCTAAATGCCTTATTTTGAGCCTGGATCCTCGTACGGGATTCATTTTCACTTTTCATCGAGTCGTGTACTCTTAGAAATTCCTTCTTGTCGTTGTTTTCCAGTTTCAGGGTTTCTGGCCAGGGTTAGCGTCAAACTTGTTTGGGGCATAACTTTCTGCTCGGAACTCGGTTTTTGACGTCGTTTCTTCCGTTATTCATATTTTCTCATTTTAAATCTTTTTCGTTCACAGAGTTTTGTCATTTGAGCGCGTCTGCTCAAATTTTACTTTTTCGGACCTGACGGGGCCCATTCGGGGCACTTTTTGAGATTTCTATAAAAGGGGAGTGAGATATTTTATTTTTTCATCTTTCCCACTCTCTTGCACAACCTGAAGCTTCCATGGCAGCCCAAGGGAGGCTGCCACCTTCTCTCTCCTCTTTTGAGCTTCATTCCTTCGTCAGAACATAGAAGGGCCTTTGCGTTTATTGTTCGTGTTGACTATGCTTTCTTTTCACCCTTATTAGAACTCATTTCTGACCATTCTTTGAGTTTGGGTTTGAAGTCAAGTTGTGATTTTGATGGAGCTTCCTTGGGGGTTATGTGCACAATGTAGTCCCCGACAAAACCTAGAAGTTTCGTCGGATACGGAGTGGTATCCATTTGGTGATTTTTGAGATTTTCATCTCAAATTGAGGTAGGAAATGTTCTAAACTTTTGTGTGTATTGTATTGAGTGTTTAACATGATTATACAACTTAATTTCATGTTCTAGAAAATTAATATTAATTATTTCTTTATATGAAATTTAATTCACAAGGATGTGTATAACTTAGAATGGAATTGTGACATGCTAGAAAATCATGTTTTAATATGTTTGTTAACATATATTAAATTGGGATTAATTGAATAAGAATTGCACTTTTTATTTAATATTTATCTTTGGTGAAAGATTAAATCTCATGGCCTTACTTTTCATGAAATGAACTTGTAGTATACTTTTAAATTAAGTCTTAGCATGTTTGTTAACATACTTTAATTTGAGAGTATTTGGACAAGTATGAAAATCTAGAAATTTTAAATTAAATGATTAATTAAAATCTATTTAATGGTTCCCTTGGTCCAATTAAGTTTTTTACTTGATAATCATGATGACTAGGACTTGCATACTAGTATATATTAAATTGGGACCATTTGAAGTTGCTTTGAAATTTAGAAGTTTAATTATCATGATATAATTAAATTCTATCTTGTTGTGCCATTGGCCTAATTGAGATTTTAGTGAATATATGCATATACTATGCTATATTGTATAATATGCATTGATTAAGGGCCATTTGATTGAGATTTGAAAGTTAGGGAATTTAATTAGTTTATTTAATTAAATTCCGTTTCTATTGCTTCAATGATTAAATTCTGAAATTGGCATTGATAGTATGTTTGAAGCATAATTTTAGACTTGTAATAAATTTATAAATTATGTTTTCAATATTGGATTATATTGTTATATCGTGTAGCAAATCGCACACTGAAGATTCGACATGTGATGTTATTATAGCGCATAACAAATCGCGCTCTGAAGATTCGATATTGTCATCCTATAGTTGTTGTGGATTTAGAGCATGTGTTGTGTGGTTACAACCTACTTGTGCATGAAGGTAGTTTCGTGTACTGTTTAATACGTATATAAATTGTTAACTTATTTATTTTGGAGTTGCTTAGGACATTGTTAAGCTGTAATGGCTAGGGTTTGGCTCTAGTACGGGGATAAGAGTCCTCTAAGTCAAAAGTTCGCGCGTTGAGTATGCTGCCTCGGGGTTAGTAGCTCCAAATTAACCGTATAAAGTTTGCGCGTTGGGTAGGCTGCCTAGGAGTTAGTAGCTCCAAATTTGCCTTGTCTCGGCAGAAATCCGAGCTGTGATGTCCAAGTCTTCCACTATTTGATTTCGCATTCAATTCCAAGTTGACAACCAATGTTTAATTGTGACTTGTGGTTTTGGTAATTGGCGATTTAATGTTGTTAACTATATCCACACTAAATTAATATATTTAGTTGATTTTGCACTCTTAGATTGCTAGTTGATAACCTAGAGAATTTGTCTTGATGTGTGGTATTAGATATTTTAATTATGCTAAATTGTTATATTTAGTTGATGTTGCATTTTAGACTTCAAGTTGATAACCTTGACAACCACTATGTTGTTGCTTTGTGGAAGCATGCTCCTATGTTGTTGCTTTGTGTAAGCATGACCCTATATTGTTAAACTTGCATGAATGAGGTGATTGATGCTAGAAATGATCTTAGGTAGTTAGGATGTTCCCTGAGTCTCACCTTGACATAGACGTTAAGTGGAATGAACCACAATAATTAAATCATGCAACTTGTAAAATTTTAGGTCGATGCATGCTCATTTCCTACGAGTAACTTTATATTACTCACCCCTATGATACTGGGACATATTTCAGGTACAGGATACAAAATTAGAGATTGCAATTGATTGGTTGATTTGCTAAATTGAGCTTCTTTAGAAGCATTCTTGTTCACATGCAAATATTAGCATGTTCATGATTTGTCTATGAAATGTAATTTTTCTAACTTGGAGGTTTGAGATGTCAAATGTTATAAATGTATTGTAATGAGACCATAGGCCATTATAGCACATCTATTTTATCATATTACATACACTTGCATGCTCACTTTGGCAAACAATACCTTCCTTGATGAAACAAAAACTCTAAGTAGCATTTTTAAAGAATTTTACCCTATTCTGTTCCAGGAGCATTTCGAGTATTTCACAATGCGTTTTTTTCATTTTTCCTCGCGAGTTACGTAGAAAACTCAATTTTGAAAGGGGTTTCTTCTTTGTGTTTTTTCAGAAAACATCATCTTGGCCCTCAAAAATCAATATTTTTCTGAAAAATCCTTGCTGTCAGGTTTTGCAAATTTTTAGTACAAATGTAGTTGGTACTATTCATCGACTTTTTTTTTAAAATCGTCACGACCAATCCGAAACTTCCGGAGGTCTTGTGGGTGCATTTTAAGATTACATTTTTAATTTAGGCAATTTAAAAACCTCCCAAAGCCCTATTTCCAAAACCTGGGCAGTAACTCGTACTAGTTTTTTTCCTTTTGACCTAATTTTTTTTAGGGTATTCTGGGCATTTTACAATTCATTTTTTTTATTTCCGTCCGCGATCAGGGTAGGAAACTTGATTTTAAGGGGAGTTTCTTCTTTTAGTTTTTCCAAAAAAGTCCGTTTAGATGCCCGTTTTTACTCTCAGTTACAGCAGTGGTAGGTTGTTCTCGTCGGGCCGCCACGACATCATTTTTGTTTTTGACCTTTCTCCCCCGTCCGGACTCCAAATTGAGTAAACTTTTTTTTGAAGTTTGACTAATTTGTCATTATCTTTCCAACGGTGTGCTCGATAACACCTTAATCCACTTTTTACAAAATAACCATTTTGCCCCTAGGTTCTTTTTGTCCGTTTTTGAAACGACACTTCTGCATTTGTTTCCTTTGGGTTCCGTGACCTCATTGAGGATCACATTGGTGTCTTAGAGACACATTGTATCTCTAGAGATCGTTGTTTCACCTTTCGCTTCCGCATTTCGGATCCATTATCGGGTCATCTTTTGGTCATCACTGACACACCGGGTTTACAAAACTTGGACCGTCACAAGTGGTATCAGAACTCCTAGGTTCAAAAATCTTAGGACGACGGCAACCGCAATCCTACATTACATATATGCAACTTCATGTGCCATACAAAAAATATAACGGCAACAAAAAAAGTAACGGCAACCGCAATCCTAACTTTTGACCTACAAAGATGTAATAGTTGAAGTTAGAGAATGTAAAGCAAGTTGTAAAGTTGTCAAAATTAAACCAAGCAAAGCAATCATTACAATAAACTCTTCGTATTATCTCAATATCTTGGGTCATTGGCATCCCGTCACCAAAAGAAATCATTTAAGTAGTAATACACGACCACAATAGTCCTCCTTCAAATCTTCAATGTAATATATATCATAATCAAATATAGATGAACCAAAGAAACGTCTACCACGGTTCTGTAACAAAATACTAGTCAAAATGTCACATTGGCGATGAGGAGGAACCTCCTTCTCACTAGTCAAAATAAAACCTCCTTCTCACTAGACATAATATTTGCAATTCAACCTTTTTTTGTCATCAGTACTCTTAAATATTGTAATTTAAGTTGGAGTGAATGATACATTTTGTAATAATAATAGTAGAGTGCTATTTTTTTTTTTTTTGAAGATAATTATGTCTTTTTATTTTTTTACAAAAAGCAAAGTGAAATTTAACTAAAAAAAAATGAGAATGTAAATGCATTTGCTATAAACATTAGATTAGGCACAAACTGATATTCTGACAGATTGAAGAACTTGGGAAGACATTTGATTTGATCATAGTTTTTGGTCAAAATTATCAGTAACCGGGTTAGTGAAGACTACCAAGTGAAATTGCTGACAAAATGTAATTTTATTATTATTATTTTTTTTATTTTATCACTCTGATGTGAAGCTTTTGTGTAGGTCTAAAAAGTTATGCTTTATTTAGAGCAAATAAGTATTTGAAACAGGTGTCCAACTTCAGTCTGCATATAATTTGAAGATAATTATTCAATAGGAATGTCCAAAATTTACTCTTATTTGCAAGGCTTTTTCTGTGTTTTCTTTTGTTTTATGAAGTTACAAAAGATAAGAAATGCTTGACATTGAAAAGAGGCCGCTATTGGAGGTTCACATTCAACACAAATCATTAAGTGCTGATTAAAAGTGTAGCTTATATATATGCATGAAAACACTAGTGTTAGAAGTAGGACCAATCATCTGATTTTATCTTGGAAGTTTAGGATCATCCAACTGTAATATTTCATAGTGTCACTGGTTTAGCAAAAAAAGCGTCAGTCTATTCCTGTATTCAGTGACACTAGACATTAAGAATATAGGCAAATGATATAGTGAATTAGATTGAGAAGCCAAATAGATAGAAAATATCAGTGTCAAGCTTTGATCTCAAACAGATACGAATGTCAAAAATTAAGTAATAAGTATCACGCATATTGAAAGCTCAAAACCACGAGTATGTCAAACAAATGGGAACCGAGAGCCATATAAGTGATCAACCACATGATATAATGCATATAGTTTAGAAGGCTATATTTGAATAATGAAATACTCCAACCCACCCGTTGTCCAAACATTATGGTGCTTGTGGTTTCTCCATGATGTCTAGAAGATGGCCCAACTGTTATTATAAGCGACGTCCTCGCTGAGCCTGTTTAATTAAAATAAAAAATGGATTTTATAGACCAACAGAAACAGGATGTGGACGGTTTCATTGTAGAATAAACAGACTTCAAGAAGCAAATCTCTAGTAATCAAACAAATAATAGAAAAGGATATTTCAACACCGTTTCATGAAAACAAAAAAGAAAAAGAAAAAGGTTGAGAGGGATTAAAAACAAAAATTCTGAACTTTCTATAACTGTGAAAAAAAAAATAATAAAAAATAAAAAACTTTGTATGACTGTAAGGTTCAGCACAGTTGGCCCCTTTTTTTAATTTCATTCGGTTACCAACAAAGATGTTTCTTATCCAAAAAAAAAAAAAAGCTAAAAAAGTTGTTCTTCCCATTCTATGGTTTTATTGACTGAAATCCTAGGGATAGGATATTTCTTGGTTTATAGATTATACACTGAAAACCAATATACTCATCCTTTTATATTTAATTTCAGCCCCTCTCAAGTTCTAACAGAGGAAAGTTATTAAAAATTTTGAATGTTCCAATTTGTACTTCTAGACAACATATGGTAAATAACTGCAACTTCAAACTTTCAGTTATTGCACTTAATCTATAACCTTTGATTCATAAGCCAAATAAGTCTCAATATATGACAAACAATTATGTTACATACAAACCAGACATTTTTTAGTACAAATACACCATAAAAAAAAAATTGAAAATTTTGATCAGTTAAGGAATGGAACTATTACCATGCTCCAGAAATGCCGAAGCTTAACACAAATTTTGTTGGTATAATCACCATATCTAACAACTTAAATGTAATGCCTGCTATCCTACAAAGGTAACGTACTTTATTAGATAAACCATTCAAGCAAAGCAGATGAAACAGAGACTATTGAGGATAACCTCCAAATGAATCACGGAGTAGTTTCATTAGTTTAGAATCTCTAGTAGGTATGTGAGGACTGTTTTCGGCCAATGCATTTATACATTTTCCAAGGGAAGTAAGAGAAAGATTGATAAATTTTGCTTCTTCGACCAAGTGACCTTCACTGCCTGCAACAACCCCACTTCCGTCTAGCTAAACACAACTTACACTTGGAAAAATAATTGTAGACACTAATGCTTTACAACCACACGGACATAAGATAATTAAACTAACACAAGTACCCAGACCCATCCAAAAAGAGATCAAAATCCTCTTCAATAGTAGAACTATGTCATTTAGTATCCCACGCCCATCCCAAAGGATCAAAATCCTCTTATGTCGTTTTGAGACTTTTTAACGTAAGTTTTTTTTTTTTTTTAACAAACTAAGGTGAGGACTTAAAAATAGATATACGTGCTTGAGAAGCTCAGCGTACTACCAGCTAGGTCATTAGATATTGTCCTTTTAACTTGATTGTTTGCTCCATTGATATACGAAATACAAGTAGAGGGAGAAAAAGATTATGCGCTCCTGCTGGCTCTAGTATAAATTAATCCACAATCAGCTCTTTTAAATGTTTAGCGGACACGGTTGAATTTTCAGTTGTAACAATCAGCTGAATATCATTTTCCTATCATTTTTCAACTATACATGCCCCACCACAATCAAAGTTTAAAACTGCCGCCCCTTTGAAACTTCTTAAAATGTCACTATAGAGCAAGGGACCTACAAGTTTGTAATTTTTCAAGAATCAGAGTCCTCCTAGATGTTTCTGGGAATTGTGGAAGGAAGCTGCACTGACCCTCATCTGAAATGCAAAGCCGTGCGAGTCAAGAAATCTTGGCTGTCCAAGACATGCTTGTGTGTGTATAAATAGAGAGAGTTAGTAGTAGAGTTTAGTACATATATATTGAAGAGCCATTTCTAGCTGCTCGCTAAAGAACTTTAAGCGTCATAAATTAATTGTTATTCGACACTTCTTTCACGATGGCTGCTTTCTTCTCCATTTTTTTCGGTTGCTTTTCTGATTCCAGCGGAGTTGGATGCGAAGGGGAGAGTTTGAGGACTCAAGAGGCGTCGATCAAGTCCCGAGCAGGCAATGAAGCTAAATCAAAAACTAAGTCAAAAAAAAGTCCTCCAATTCCAGTTTCCTACTTCCCCATTGGATCAACATTTTCCCGGTTATAAGACATTCAGATTGAGCTTCCTTCCTTGGTGCTTGTTAGACTTTATTCATTTATTCATGTAGTTGATATTGTACACTGACATTGAAATTGTTTCATGTGCTACTACTTGCACCGTGTTTGTATTCTTTATTCGTTGAAATGAGATTATATTTTATCCATTTTTAAACCAAGTGTACGTGTTTTCTCTTTCAAGCTTTTTTTTTTTTTTTTTTGGTAAATCTTCTCTTTCAAGCGTTTGTGCCCCTGAACTGCTTTGAAAAGAATTTTAGTCTTTTTATACACCTGTTTTTTTTCTCAAAAGCCATAATTTGATTCAATGTATGTGATTCCAGATTCTTTAGGTAAACAATCCCTATCATTACGTCTTGTTTCTTACTTTACTTTTTTAAAAGCACTTTTTTGAGTAAAACCAATAAATTTGACTATCAATTACTAAAGAAGTCCCAGCAGAAGATGCATATCAATAGAAAGTGTACGTGGTTGAAGATAATTTTGTTGAAACCCATTGAAGAAATAAGAAAATTTAAAAAAAGTCCTATGGTTTTAAGGACCGCTGGAGCCTAGAGTTGGGCTTTCTTGCTCTTCTATAAGTTTTTGTGGGTTGCGCTACCTAAGATGTTCAACTCACTCTCGTTTCACCAAGTTATTTTTCTATGTGATATAGGAAATCAAATAGTTGCTATAATGAACGAGTCAAAGTCTGTCAAATTTAAAAATCTTCTTTACAATTGCTTTGTCATCTAGAATGTATGTGACATAGCTAATGAAATCAAGACTGTGTGTGTCAATGTGTGCAAGTGTGTGTGAAAGGGAAGATATTACATACCTTTGAACCATAAGACTGGTTGACATTCAGCTTGAAAATAAATCTCTCCACTGGGATATTTTTAATGTTGAAGAAAATAACCGCAACTCTCTCCACCAGTCCCTGGTTAATAGAAAGCCAAGTTGGTTTTAGTCAATTTCGACGGTACATCAACCAGCAATGGAATGAATAGGTAAGGAGCTTCCATCAACAATTTGTTAAATAGAAGAGTACAGCTTCAGTTTACTCAATACCCAACTATGTCGCACGCATATATGCAGCCAATATACATCATTCTCACACAACCACACATAATACATGCACACAAACACACTGCCACACATACACATGAATACACATGAACACATACTCGTGCAAGATTAATGCGGATATGTATATGCACTTCAAATAACATGCACATAGGGTATCCAATTGCAAATTTATCAAAAAAAATCATTTTTTTGGAGTCCCATGGTGGGCATTTGTGGGTGTGTGCGAGTATTTACCTAAGCAAAAAAAGAAATTTAAACAAATAAAAGAATGGAAGAAAAAACCTTCTGGATAAAAGGAAGGAGTCCAGTGACAGCAGAATTGATGTATTCTTGAAGCTGAGGCTGTCGAGCTTTCTGAACCACAACATTCATATATTGCCGTCTTTCAAATGCACCTACATACCAACATTTGCAAACATCAAAACCCATCACGAATTTCAGTTCCACTACAACCTCAATAAATAAATGGTCTTCTTTTGATCCAAAACGTGTTTTATTTGTAATTATAAGATTTGAATTGAGGAATTCATCTACTCTGATACCATGTTACTCATAAATTTTAATATTTAACAATGGTGTTTGACATTGTGGGCATAAATTTCAAAATAAGTAAGCTATATGAAAATGGGTCATTCTTGGCCGGACAGTGATAAAAATGGGAAAAATGAACTTGGAATTGAGTAGAGAAAATAGTACCAGGAGGATATAATTATTTGAGAAAAATAATACCAGTGATGGCCACTTCCAGGAATTCCACCAGAATCCGAGCAGTCTCATCTGCAATTTAGAGAGAGAGAGTGATGAAAGATTACCCAGTTGGAATTTGGTAAAGAAAAGATGATTAGAAAAGTAAAATCGAACCTTGTGGAGATTGATTATCTTTGCGATCCATAACAATCTCTCACTCGCCTCTTTTCTGTGCCTAGGATTTTTGAATTTGCTCATGTGGTGAGCCGTCACCAGTCCGGTCTTATAAATCTGAACCTTGAGTGCACATTTCTGAGCTTCATTATCTCAGCAATAGTCTTTATAACCAACGTCTCCTTTTTAGTTAATTCACAAACATAAAACATAATAGAACTCTAATTAAACCTAAGGCTTCAAGAAAATCAATAAATTGCATCAAATTAATTTAGTAAAATCCTCAAATCCCAAAATCCCCAACTGATTTTTCATCACAATTACTTATCCACATACGGAGATAAATATTTCGCCAACATATTGAGATGAAAGATATAAGAGAAACATGTACCTGTAGAGTTCTGTAATTTTGGTCGATTACTGATCTTCAAGTCGTTACTCAACGCCATCCTTATGAGAGAGTAGAGAGGGCTTGAGAGTTGAGAGACAACGGGCCTGAGGCTGAAGCTTTCGAACGGCGAGCCCGAACTGGAACAGCCGGCGATGGAAACTAAAGGATATGGGTTTTGATTTTTTGAACAATCTGAAATGATATGCCGACATGGGTTCTGATTCTGGTAGATTTTGTAGTTTGTAGTTGCAGAGACAAAGAGTTGGCAAGTTCAGAGTTGAGAACGAGAATAGAGATGGAGGTGATTTGGTCTGATTCTTGTAGATTTTGTAGTTTGCAGTTGCAGAGACAGAGAGAGGGCAAATTCAGAGTTGAGAACGAGAATAGAGATGGAGGCGATTTGGGAGGCTGAAATGATTTGCCCTAGAATTGTATGTGTGTGGTCTGTAGGTATGTGTGGTCTGAAATGATTTGCCCTAAAATTTTAAGAAAGCAGCGGGAATAAGACCTACGTATAGTCTTAAACCAAATTCACTTCCTACCAAATGTTTTTCATTAACCGGCTAGAAAAAGCGATATAAAGGAATTAATTTACTTTCTATCACGTGGTGAAATAAATTCACTTTCTACCACAATTCTATTATTATAACTGTGGTAGAAAGTATAATTACTATCACGGTTTTTTATTAACCGTGGTAGAAAGTTTTTCTACCACGATTTTTCATTAACCATAGTAGAATATATTACTTTTTACCACGGTTTTAAAATAACCGTGGTAGAAGACACTTTCTATCACGGTTATTTTAAAACCGTGGTAAAAAGGGCGTTCTAAAAAACTGTTATTTTAAAACCGTGGTTATCTTTTGGTCATCGCTAACGCACCGGGTTTACAAAACTTGGGCTGCTACAAATGGTATCAAAGCTCTTAGGTTCGAAAACCTTAGGACGACGGGTTTTGGGTACATATTATGCTTTTGTTGCCATACTCTATGTGTTTACATGCTTTATGATAACATGTTTTGGTTGATAACATGTTTATGTGCTTACGTGCTACATGTTGTATGCCGTTCGTTTAGCATTATTTTATTCTAATGTAAAGAGTATAACATGTGACGTATGCTAGATTAGAATTGTATATGCATATTTATGTTTCATATTTGGCATGACACGGGATTGGTCATTGAGGCACGAGTTGAGGTTGATGGTGACTGTAGTCACAGTTTCGTGGTAGTATAAGTTGTTGTCGACCTAGTATTGGTTTTAAGGTAGGTGGATGGTCACCTTTTGTTTAGGCTCTCGTGAGATGAGTTGTTTGGCGTTACCATAATGCTGGATTTGTTGGTTTGGGGCCATTATGAGGTTATGGACCTCTTAGGACCCTTGATTGTTCAGGATGATTCCTCTGGAACTTGCGTTTTTCTTGGGTGGGTACGTTATGGGTGGGTGCATAGCACTGTCATGCTACCGTTCTGGCATGCTACATGTGCAATTCGGATGGAATCAGTGTCGATTTTGTTTTGATAGGCGTTGTCCTTTTGATCGATGATGATGGTGTTTGTTTTGGGGATCAGACGTGGTGATTGATTTGGTTGTTGTTGGCATGGCTATAATTGCCATTTTCTTTGGAGTTCTCCTTGAGTGATAACGCTTTTGGGATCAAGTCGATTGATTGATGTTTCGGGTAGAGAGAGCATTGTATTGTTAGTGTTACTTATGGTGTTACCTCTAGATTTGGAGTTAGATTGTTAGAGTCTTACCATTGTGGTAAGGGCTCACATTTGTTTTGAGACAGGTTGATGTCGTATTGGTTTTTGGAGACAGTTTATGGCTAGGATTGGTCCTTCCTTTTGCTTGACACTCTAGGACACGATGTCCATAGGGTTCATTGTTGCATCATTTTGTCTTTTGCAGTTTTGTTTACTACCATGTTAATAGTATGATTTATAATGTTGTGATGCATGAGTAGATGGAGGTGTATCCACATTTGCCTTCTTGTTGTGTAGCATTAGCATGCCTTCCTTATATGCTTAAAGATGCCATACTGTTATTACGCTTTAATGACATGCTTTTGTGCTTACATGGAGACGTGTTGCATGTACCTTTGATTTTTATCTATGTGAGTAGATTTCTTTCTGGTAGTTGCATTCCTTGTCACATGCATGACTTCCAGGTTTGGGTTCCCTTTTGTTTCTCCTCAGTCGCACGTAGTGTGTATGTGGGTTTCCGTAAGAGTTTCGTTATGAGATTCCTTGTAGAGGAGTTGTCACATTTGTTCCATCTTGAGCTGTCCACTTCCCTAAGGTGGGAATGATGCTCCATTTTCGTGTTTGTCATATCGACACTTGTAGGAGGATAGGGTTTCTTCTCTTTTCTTGGTTCGTGTTAAGGACTTTACAAGGAGTGAGTCTCTTCTTTTTGTTGCGTTGTGCACAGTTCTTGGTTGGTTGGTTCGTGAGGATCACCATTGTTGTTTTGAGTCTTTGGTGAGGATTTGATGGATTTTGGTCGACTTACTTCCATGTAGGGGGTGAAGTCTTTGACCTTGTTGTCTTTCATTTCAGAGATGGGGTTGTGGTGTTATCCTTTTTAGGACTGGTAGTTCCCTTTCTTTCGTGTCTTCCTTGGGGAGTTTTTGCTGTGGTTGTTGACGGAATTGTGGTGCTCGGAGTGAGTTGATTGGTATGAAATCATTTTATGGGGACTTGTGTCCGTATCATTGAGGATTTGTTTGATTGTGAGGTGAGCTCGATGATCTTTTGAGAATGTCTTTTAGAGACTTGTTTCCGTTTTCAAGGTCTGGATGTGGTTAACTTTTAGGAGGAGTTTTGGAGGATCGCTATTGGATATGGCTTGTGGAGTTTCTCGTCCTAGTTATAACTAGGCATGGTTTTGAGGAATCGTAGTTCCAGTGGTTGTTTATGGATCGATAGAAATTGAGGAATTTTGATTTAACTTGGTGTTGCCAAGCATGGTTTTGAGAGATTCATCTTGTGACCTTAGTTGTTGGCATTTTGATGTATGTGCCACTTGGTGGATTTGTATTTTGAGGATTTAGTTGTCCGTGATAGGGATGTGGATCTGATGTTTGATTACGGTGTAGTCTTATAGTTTATCTATTTCAGGGAGATGTGAAGGACTTTCGATGAAATGTCTTATTGTGTGAGATTCGTTTTGATTTCTGTAGGCGTTGATTTGCTTGTCAGGTTTTGGATTCCTGATTAATGTTGTTAATAGGGGTCTTTTGAGACATTGTTGTATTGAGGATTTAAGGCCTTAAGCATAGCGGTACCTATGGCATTGTTGTCAAAGTTTTGGGATTGGCTAGGATGGTCTGGCCAGACATCTTTGGACCATATCTCAACTCTCACAAAATGTTGGTCTCCGTAGTGCTTTTGGCAATGATCATTTTTGACATTGATGTCATTTGTATCGAGAGGTTTCTTGGGTAGACCTAGTGGGGGGCAGGTTATGAATTAGTGCCTTATACTGCCATACTACTGTACAAAGTTCTGTGTTGTGGGCTAGTACTAGTTGCCGTCGATGCTACCTTACTGATGAGTAAGTGTGGGCGGGCACCAGGCACGATCATTGTTACCACACATTTGAGTACGTCGTGGGCGGGTTCTGGTCGCTATTCGTACTGCCACATTCTCTTGTTCGGTACCCTGATATGATACGTGGTTATCTTGGAGATCTTTTAGTGGTCGTTGTTGGATCGGTATGATGGTTCATCTAGAGGGATGTTTACGGTTGTTGTCTTCCGTTCCTTTGTCTCACCTTGGGTTCTGTATGTGAGTTTCGACTTGTTGGGTGGCCATTTAGTCACTTTCCTTTTGAGAGGTTGTCCTGTCATTAGCATGTGGGTGCGAATGACATTGGTTTATGCGTTGTCTTTCAGTTTTGGGATTGCTTTTGTATCGCGTTGTGTGGGATAATCGGAGATGTACTCCGTAGTTATCCTGGTTTCGCCTTTTTTGTTTTGGTTGGGGCTGGATTTCAGGGACGAAATCCCTTTATGGTGGGAAGGTTGTAATGACCCGGATTTTAACGGATATTTTTTTTCCGTTGTTTTTCCATTCTGAGTTCAGTTCCTCTTCGCTTAGTGTCGTCTCGAGTGCTCTGGAGTGATTTCCGAGACTCTTTTCTATGGATTGACAACTTCCTTTGAGGACCGAGTCGTTTCCACATTTTTCGTTTTTCGACACTTCACCTTTCGTCCTTTTCCCTATTTTGTCTTTTCCCCGTTTGACACTTTGTTGGCGTAACTACACTTCTTGTGTTCGGAGTTAGTTTTTGACTTTATGTATCTCCATCTTGAGTGGTTTCCACGAAATACGTATCTTTACTTTTGCAAGAAAGTACTCTGGTTGCTCTCGGTATCCATAGGGGTATGGATGCAAAGTTCTTTGAAATTATTTTCTTTTCTTTGGGTTTTTTTCGTAAATATCTTTTGAAGATATTTTATTTCAGGGGTTTTTAAGAAAATATTTTTGGAAGATATTTTCATTCTGGGCCATTAGTGCAGTTTTCACTTTTTGGAGGGGCCATTGTGCAATTAATGAAAGTTATTGCTAAATGCCTTATTTTGAACCTGGATTCTCGTACGGGATTCATTTTCACTTTTTGTCGAGTCGTGTACTCTTAGAAATTCTTTCTGGTCGTTATTTTCCAGTTTCAAGGTTTCTGGCCCCGGTCAGCGCCAAACTTGTTTGGGGCATAACTTTCTGTTCAGGACTCGGTTTTTGACGCCGTTTCTTTTGTTGTTCATATTTTCTCATTTTGAACCTTTTTTGTTCATAGAGTTTTGTCATTTGAGTGTGTGTGCTCAAATTTCACTTTTTTGGACCCGGCGGGGCCCGTTCGGGGCACTTTTTGAGATTTTTATAAAAGGGGGGTGAGATATTTTATTTTTTCATCTTCCCCACTCTCTTGCACGACCTGAAGCTTCCATGGCAGCCCAAGGGAGGCTGCCACCTTCTCTCTCCTCTTTTGAGCTTCATTCCTTCGTCAGAACATAGAAGGGCCTTTGCGTTTAGTGTTCGTGTTGACTACGCGCTTCTTTCACCCTTATTAGAACCCATTTCTGACAATTATTTGAGTTTGGGTTTGAAGTGAAGTTGTGATTTTGATAGGGCTTCCTTGGGGGTTATGTGCACGGTGTAGTCCCTGACAAAACCTAGAAGTTTCGTCGGATTCGGAGCGGTTTCCATTTGGTGGCTTTTGAGATTTTCATCTCAAATTGAGGTAAGGGATGTTCTAGGCTTTTGTGTGTGTTGTATTGAGTGTTTAACATGATTATACAACTTAATTTCATGTTCTAGAAAATTAGTATTAATTATTTCTTTATATAAAATTTAATTCATAAGGATGTGTATAACTTAGAATGGAATTGTGGCATGCTAGAAAATCATGTTTTAATATGTTTGTTAACATATATTAAATTGGGATTAATTGAATAAGAATTGCACTT